CACTCCAGCCTGGGTAAGAGTGGACTCTGATGCAAAAAAAGAAAAATTGAAGAACGACAGTCTCAGATCCATATTTTATAATGGCTACTGGTCATGTACAAGATAAAGAAATAAAACTAGGATAGGTCGGGCTCGGTGGCTCAGCCTGTAATTCCAGCAATTTGGGAGGCCGAGGTGAGTGGATTGCCTGAGCCCACAGGTTTGAGACCCGCCTGGGCAACTTGGCGAGACCTCATCTCTACAATAAATCAAAAATTAGCCGGGCTTGGTAGCACGCACCTGTAGTTCCAGCTACTTGGAAGGCTGCAACGGAAGGATCACTGGAGGCCCTGCAGGTTGAGGCTGCAGTGGCCGGGAGTGGCCACTGCACTCCAGTCTGAGTGACAGAGTGAGACTCTAACTCAAAAAAAATTAAAAAATAAAAATAATAAAACTAGGATAACAGGCATCTGTTTATATCTCTTTTAAAAGACTTATGATATGAACCAATTAAATTTTTCTGGCTATTTACTCCTCTCTACACACATTTTTTTATTTTTTATTTTTTTTGAGTTGGAGTCTCACTCTGTCGCCCAGACTGGAGTGCAGTGGCCGCTTTCGGCCACCGCAGCCTCGACCTGCCGGCCTCCGGCGATCCTTCCACCTCAGCTTCCAAGTAGCTGGAACTACAGGCATGCGCTACCACGCCCAGCTAATTTTTTGATTTTCTTGTAGAGATGAGGTCTTGCCAAGTTGCCCAGGCGGGTCTCGAACCCGCGGGCTCAGGCAATCCACTCATCTCAGCCTCCCAAAGTGCGGGATTAGAGGCTGAGCCACCGAGCCCCGGCTAAGGACCCTACCTCTTAAAACAATTTTTTTAATGAGCTACTTGGAAGGCTGAGGCAAGATGATCCCTTGAGACTTGGCATTCAAGGCTCAACTGAGCTATGATTGCGCCACTATACTACAGCCTGGGCGACAAAGTGAGATCCTCTCTAAAAATAAAATAAAATGAAACAGAATTTTAGGATTGTGTGCAGTATAGATTTTTTTTTTTGCATTAATTTTTGTTTGTTTGTTTGTTTGTTTTTAATCAGAGTCTCACTCTGTTGCCCAGGCTGGAATGTAGGGGCATGACCACAGCTACTGCAATCTCGACCTGCTGGGCTCAGGTGATCTTTCTGCCTTTGCCTCCTGTGTAGCTAGAACTACAGGCGTGCACCATCACACCTGGCTCATTTTTTTTTGTTTATTGAGGAGACGAGGTCCGGCCATGTTGCCCAGGCTGGTCCCGAACTCCTGAACTCAGGCAATCCTTTCGCCTCAGCTTCCCAAGGTGCTGGGATTGCTGGCATGAGTCACCATGCCCAGCCCTTTTTTGCATTAATTTTGGCTTTTAAAAGTATTACATTAAGCCGGGTGTGGTGGCTTCATATATATCACATGAAGATATTCAACTTGATTGCAGAGCTTTTTTTTTTTTTTTTGGTATCCCTTTATAGTTTGCCCCAGAGGAGAGTGCCTCAACTTGCCTCTCCCTGGTTCCTGCCCTGGTGAGGCTGGTGGAAATAATGAACAGAAGATGGCATTTGGCACCCAATCCCTGGCTTCAGGGATACCCAGGGATTGGTGGAAACCAGATCAACTGGAAAGCCTATGTCCCCAAGGAACCCCAGCACTCAGTATGGACAACCATGTCACCAGGAGAAAATGGAGTCCACAGTTCTTCCTGATTTGCTAAATTTAAGAGACAGGGAGTTTATAAGAAATATGGTCCATTTTCAAACATAAGCAATGAAATTATTAAGCTTAAAACACCCTGTCACTAACCGGTAGATAAGAACTCGGCTGCCGCTACATCTGGTTTCTGGGCAGCCGATTCAGAACTCTGCTTTGCATCAGTACTATTTTTCCCAGGAGTGGAGATATGATAAATCCGTCTCCTGTTATGGCTACTATGGGCAATAAAAATTTCAAATTTTCGTATTCCAGCATCTCAGTCAATGTTTTTGCCTCAGAAAGCACAGACCGTGTGTTACAAAGTAAGCTATTGTTGGAAGCAGTTTCATGAATGCTCACGATTCAATTTTTTGTAAAAGACATAATCTTGCAAAGTTTCGCAGGCTGAACTCAACTCCTGGCCTCAAGTGACCCTCCCTCCACAGCCTCCCGGGTAGCTGAGACATGGCATGCACCACCACATCAGCTTTCATGATTCAATACTGACAAGGCTGGAATCCTGCGGTCATCTGGCTTCTTACTGACAAGAGCAAAAAAACAAAAACAAAAACAAAACCCACAAGGTAGGCAAATAAATTTCCTGGTAAATAAACTGGACTAAAATTCAGTTTAGTTAATAGTCACAAATCTTATCGTGCTCAGTGGCTCAGCCTGTAATCCTGCGCCTTGGGAGGCCGAGGTGAGTGGATTGCCTGAGCCCGCGGGTTCGAGACCCACCTGGGCAACTTGGCAAGACCTCATCTCTACAATAAATAAAAAATTAGCCGGGCATGGTGGCGCGTGCCTGTCATTCCAGCTACTTGGAAGGCTGAGGCTGAAGGATCGCCGGAGCCCAGCAGGTTGAGGCTACGGTGGCCGGGTGTGGCCACTGCACTCCAGTCTGGGCGACAGAGTGAGACTCCAACTAAAAAAAACAAATAAACAGTCAAAAATCTTTTAAATTTTATATGTATTGAGCCGGGCTCGGTGGCTCAGCCTGTAATCCTGTGCCTTTGGGAGGCTGAGGTGAGTGGATTGCCTGAGCCCGCGGATTCAAGACCCACCCGGGCAGCGAGACCTCATCTCTACAATAAATCAAAAAATCAGCCGGGCGTGGTAGCGCATGCCTGTAATTCCGGTTACTCGGAAGGCTGAGGCGGAAGGATCACCGGAGCCCAGCGGGTCGAGGCTGCGGTGGCCGGAAGCGGCCACTGCACTCTAGTCTGGGCGACCGAGTGAGACTCCAACTCAAAAAAAAAAAAAATTTTGTATGTATCTTGCAATTTTTGTTTCTAAGCCAGTCATCTTCAGCGAGTGCAGTAGTGTGAATGCCTACCTTCCGGAACCCTTGAGTTTTGTTCCGACCAGACCCATGAATGAGCAGAGGGTGAAAGAAGACGGTGTCTCCCTTCTCCATCACAAGGTGCACTCGGGCATTGTTCTTCTCGTAGTCTCGGATGCCATGAAACATGATGTTAACTCCCCCCTAGAACGAGAAGCAAAGCCAAGGTGATATCTGAGGAAGCCTTTAACACAATCGCCAGCGTTGTCCATGGCGCAGCAGGGCAAGCCAGGGTTCAGTAAGTTCTCCCAAGAGAAAGAGGTACGTGTCTAAATTAGATTCTTGTTTTGTTTTGCTTGAGTCGAGGTCTCAACCTGTCACCCAGGTTGGAGTGCAGTGGCACGCCTCCTGGGCTCAGGAGATCCTGCCACCTCAGCCTCCTAAGTAGCTGAGACTACAGGCATGCTCCACCATGCCCGGTTAATTTTTGATTTTGATTTTCCTTTTTTTTTTTGTAGAGGTAAGTTCTTTCTATGTTGCCCAGGCTAGTTTGAACTCCCGGGCTCAAATGATCCTCCTAACTTGACCTCCTGGAGTGCTAACTTTTTTTTTTTTTTAGTTGGAGTCTCACTCTGTCGCCCAGACTGGAGTGCAGTGGCACGCTCCTGGCCACCGCAGCCTCGACCTGCTGGGCTCCGGCGATCCTTCCGCCTCAGCCTTCCAAGTAGCTGGAAATACAGGTGCGCGCTACCACGCCTGGCTATTTTTTTGATTTATTGTAGAGATGAGGTCTCGCCAAGTTGCCCAGGTGGGTCTCGAGCCCGCAGGCTCAGGCAATCCACTCACCTCAGCCTCCCAAAGCGCTGGGATTACAGGCTGAGCCACCAAGCCCGGCTGAGTGCTGAAATTACTGACATGAGCCACCCCACCATGTCTGGCCTAAATTAGATTATTGAAAATATTTTAGGCTGGGCTCAGTGGTTCAGCCTGTAATCAATCCCAGCACTTTAGGAGGCCGAGGCGAGTGGATACCTGAGCCCGCAGTTTCAAGATCAGTCAGGCAACTTGGCGAGACTTCCTCTCTACAAACAAAAATCGAAAATTAGCTGGGCATAGTAGCACGTGTCTGTAGTTCCGGCTACTTGGAAGGCTGATGTGGAAGAATGGCCAGAGCCCGGAAGGTCAATGCTGGGGTGGCCGTGAGCATGCCGCTGTACTCTAGCTTGGGCGACGGAGTGAGACTCAAACTCAAAAAAAATTTAATATTCTAAAGACTCTCAGATGTCTGGTTTTTAAAACTCACATGTTGATATTAAAATCACTGATTTGTCTGTTTGGTGTTTTTTTTGGACCAAATGAAAAATGTAGACTTTTTCCATTCCACCTTCATGACTGAATTATAAATGACGACCTAAAGCCGGGCTCGGTGGCGCAGGCTGTAACCCCGCGCCTTGGGAGGCCGAGGTGAGTGGACGGCCTGAGCCCGCAGGTTCGGGACCCGCCTGGGCAACTTGGTGAGACCTCATCTCCACAATAAATAAAAAAATGAGCCGGGCGTGGTAGCGCGTGCCTGTGATTCCGGCTACTCAGAAGGCTGAGGCGGAAGGATCTCCGGAGCCCAGCCGGTCGAGGCTGCGGTGGCCGGGAGCGGTCACTGCACTCCAGTCTGGG